TAACATTTTTTTCATTTAAGTACAAATTTTAAAATTTAATTAGTTATATTTTTTAAATGTTTAATTAAATCAACAATATAAATGTGGTTTTTGTTTTATCATTATTTGACTTGATGTCATATAGTRGAATTTCCTAAACTGTGCACCGCAGTTAATAGCTCATAATAAATAATTTATAATGTATAGAACTTTTTAAAAAAAATTCATTATAGCACAGAACACCGTGGTTATATTTGGTTCAAAAAAGGGCACATCGGAAAAAAATAAATTGAGAACCRCTATCATAGAGTATAATAAACTATGCTTTATATTCAATATTAAAAATATAACAATAGTTTGTGAATATTTAAATGGATATTAAACTGTTTAGAGATAATATTTGGACAAATTATTATGTTATACCTTGAAAAATAATATTCTCTAGAAAATTTGGTAATTGGTATTATTATTTTTTTTTTCATTTTGGTATCATCAAATGTGCTTGAACTTTTTGCAAAATACTTTACCCATGGGTATTTTACTTTAATATTACACAAATTTTTTAAAAAAGTGGTTTTTTCTAACTGTTTTGTTGAGTTAGATATAAAACAAATCTTTGCGTTGACATTCTCTTAATAATAAAATATAAATGGTGACTGAACACAATCTCATAAGTCATAGCACAACAATAAGCCCTACCCATTTTCTAATTGCCCTGAACACCATGCAAAATRAAGCAAATTTAATCTAGTTTCTTATTTATTTTTATGATGGATTTGGATATTAACTCTGGAACCCACAATGCTGGGCACCGCATGGCATATAACTATTCTATTTTAAAATACTATAGCAAAAATATTTTTTTGACAAATATATAGGTAGATATACAGTATTTTATTTAAATTTGTACGAAATATAATAAAACCAATTTATTCTTCTATTTTATAAATGGGTAGACATTGTTTTTTTTGCCTTCTATGAAACTTTTCTACTGATTAATTAATAATAATAAGGTAAATTTTTATTTTGTTAAATATTATTAAAACAAAGTAGCATTACTTTGATGTAACACAATAAACGATGTTTATTATTTTTATTTATAAACTATAGTGAATTCAAGTACTTGTTAGCGACCAGCCATTGATTGTTGGGCAACWAACAGAGAACTCAAATTTTTTATTTCCAAAGAGTCAGCTACCTGTACACTTGCCATGTATAAATGACATGCCCTTGTATATAAATCGATCACCGAGTAAAATTCATAAATTAATCGAATAGTGTGATAGATTATTAAATTGAAGTAACTGAAATTAACTAGGARGACAAATTCAAGAACTTCACTAAGCCAATAAATCAATAAATATTTTGACTATACTGTATGAATACTTGGTTAAAATATTTAAAAAACAAAAGTAACTTACTGAAAGAGTACATTTGTTACCCTCAGATGGCAATGGTAGACTAAGACTTAAAAATGGTTCAAAAGTAACAGATTTTTCAAAACATGTGTCACAAGATACTGTTGATTTTTGCTGACCATAAAAAAGTTGTTGAATAATAGAATTGTTTGCTTTAGTCCAATTTCCCCAATCTTCTTCGCCTGTTTCTTTTGAAGCACCTAAAATAATTCTATTGTCCTCTGGCTAGAAAAATAAATTATATAAATTATAAAACAATAATAGTTTACATGATAATATTTTACTTGATTTAAATCATCGTGAAGCCAATCCAAGAGAATAGTTAAAAATTCATGAGAGTCTTGTTGATCGTAGTGTTTAAACATATCTTTATACTCTCCAATTGTATCCTATTTTTAATTAAAAATAATTATTTTGACATTTTACATACATTTTTTTACCTTAATTCACACAAAACTTAATATTTATACTACAAATAAAACAATTGGTGAAATACACAATACACATACAACTTTTTATTTAAATAGTTTAATAACCTTAAACTGTTGACACTGAAAACTCCTGTTAGATTGTGACCACAAGTTTTTGATGACATTACTAAATTCTTTGGCTACTAAACCTTTTGTTCTACTTTTGCAATTTATAAATGTATTATAAATGTTTATGAAATATTTAACAAGATCTTCAGTGCTACTTAAACATTGCAGAATTGAATTCATATAACACGTGTTTCCTAAATTTTGCAATCCTCGTAACCCATCTCCTCCCTAAAATTTAAAAATTAATATAACACATTTATTATTGTTGGAAATTATAAATTTTACAATATTAACTTGTTTAATTTTTAAAGACAGCATACTTCGATAGACCTACCAACATTTTTAGTTTATGTAGTAGGTACAATTCAATATACCAC